GAGAAACAGCCTTACAGTGCCAGTGGATTTTTGCAGGTGGCTGTTCATGTCCCAGGGGATGAGCAAGGGCATCCTCAAGGTTCAGCTATTGCTCCGAACAGGGAGTCTACAGATCAGGGGTCATCCCAGGGTTCCGCAAGTGCTCCGAACAGGAATTCTCCTGAGAGGGGGTTTGCCATAGAGGCAGCTCCTCTGGCACCTCGGCCACATACATGGGGGACCAGAACTACTGGGGCACTGCTGCAACGCAGGCCACTTCTGATGCTGGTCGCGGGCTTGAGGGACAATGTTCCCAAGAGGAATCCATTGTGGACTTGGAGAATTCCACTCCACCATTGGGCTTGGGGTTTTCCACCCCTCCGAGGAAACCTGGCTGGGATTCAGAGGATCCAGCCAGTCAGCTGCGGAGTGGGTCACCTGGAATCCGAAGGCATCAAAGTCCTGGTCTATCGAGCCCACCAGTAGGCCAGGCACCATTAAGTAGAAGTCCTGGTCTGCCTAGCCTGGCAGGTGAGCTGGCAGACCAGGCACCCTCCCTGACCTTGCGAAGGTCACAAAGGGCTAAGGGCCCTCCCAAGTATCTGGGAGACTATGTGAGGTTTCTGTCATTGCAGAGGGAACCTTGCTAGTCTGTAACAGGATGATGTTGACTAACACCCGGTATAGCGTAATATATACCAATTATGATTTGGGGGAGCATTTGTTTAAGTTAAACCCATTATTTTATAAAAGTACTCTGCCTGTGTGCAGGCCAGAGTAATTCCACTATTCCCGGCTCTGGAACAAATGTATAGTTATGTATGCTTTATCCAGGGGGGAGGGGTGGTGTGTCCTGGGCCTGCTGAGGCAATTGAGCAGGCCCAGAAATGTTGCAAATGGTCCCGGGCAACTTAAAAGCTGGCGCAAGGCGCGAAAAAGGGTGTTTGTGATTGGATGGGACTGGAAGCTGCAGGTGTGGTAAGCAAACAGCTTATTCTCTTGAAATTATTTTGTCTACAATCTCTGGGGGGTGGGGGGAAGAAAAAAACCCAAGTAATTTCTATAGACAATCTTTCTTTTGCCTGATCCTTTCCCACTGCTGGCACATTCAAATTGCTCTCAAAGTATAGAAGAGCAATCAGCTTGCTCTCTTAAAATATCTTTCTCTACAATCTCTATGCTTTGTGTGTGTGTGTGTTGGGGGGAGAGGGATCAGGCAAAGGAGAAATTGCCTACAGAAATTGCTTGGTTTTTCCCTCCTTGCAGAGCAGAGAGATTGGAGAGACAGAGGCTATTGTAAGGACAAGTGAGATTGTACATTATATTGAATGCCTAAGCACAAGGCAAGCTATAAATCTAACAAATAAATAAATACATAAGGTAACAAAAGGCAGATTTATAAAAAAAAAACCAAGGTTTGCAGAATGCATTTTAAAGAAAGATTGGAGATACCAATGAGAAATAAGAGTAATCAGTAGCCATGGACACCCAAACTGAGAGAAAATACATCAAGAACTCCCTTCAAGAAAAAAGACAGAAGAGATACCATCAATAAAAGCACCTGTGTTCAGTCTATTGCCACTCAATATAGGTCCATCACTCATGTTCTCTCACTGTTTGCCTGCCTATTCACTTGCTTTTACCAGCTGGTGACCACCTTCTTCCCCACCTTCTTCAGCATCCACCTGTTCACTTGCTAACTGATGTCTTTCTTTCCCTACCCAGAAACCACAGGCCTATTTATTTCTGCCAACGCTTATTTGTTCATTTGCTGTCCTGTCACAAGCATCTGCCAGAGAAAGTAGAGTTTCAAAAATATTCCCATTCACTTTCCAAGACAGAAATACCCTGAGAGAAAGATATGAGCTAGAGGTTAATATATTAGGAACAGACAGATTTGAGTCTGCCCTCAGCAATGGAAGCTCAGTGAATGATTTTGGGTCAGTCAAGCTCTGACTGGGCAGCTGACTTTGCTGGATTGTTATGGGGAAATTCTGCAAAAGGATGTGCTATGTAGGCTGCCTTGAGCTCCTGGAGGATTGGAGGACAGTTGGGACAAGGAAGGAAGGAAGGAAGGAAGGAAGGAAGGAAGGAAGGAAGGAAGGAAGGAAGGAAGGAAGGAAGGAAGGAAGGAAGGAAGGAAGGAAGGAAGGAAGGATACACATATGTTTATTTTTCTATCATTGCATACTCCAGTTAGGCTGCCAATATTATTGGTACACAAAGCTTTGAAAGCATAAATGTGTGTATGTTTCCAGTTCAGTAAAATATATTCAAATATTATTCAGTTGGCAATTCTTTGTGCTTTATTTGTGGATGAGCATCCCACAGGGAAAAGAAGTGAATCAGTTTCTGAGTAGATGGAACACAAATGCACTTATTAAGTTTCTGTGTGAGATAATCTTTTTTAAAGATTCAAAGTGGTTTAATATAATTTATATTAAAACAATTTATAAAACAACCTTAAAAAATTAAAAATCCAGGGAAATTAATACATAAATAAAAACAAAACTAAAGGATTTTTTTTTACTAATTTTCTCAAATGCCTAAAAGAATTATCAAGTCTTGCCAAAACTTTAAAAGACAGACATATTTCAAAGGGCTTTAGAAGTTTGAAATATATAGGAAAAAAATCCTTTTTAAAAACCCATCAGCCTGATTTCAGTAAGAAAATTCAGTCAGAGCCTTTGCATTTGGGAATATATGAAAGCAGAAGTTCTTTTATCTTAGATCATGAATATAACCTTTTCTGGTCTTTCGAACACAAGTTAGAGATTTCCCTTTAAAAATAATAAGTAGAATCATGACAATAAATACAATTATTTCCTTTTATTTACATATAGTTAAAATTAAAATAGATAACTGCATTAACTCTGGCATATACATTAAAGTGTCATAACTGAGGTCAAATCAATTTCCTATAAAAATATGAATAGGGAAAATGGTAACTTGGATCATTTACAATAGGAGAAGACTTAAATATTGATACATTAAAGCCTGAGAGTGGAAATTACAAGAGACTTTAATTTAATTTAATGCATAGTCTTGGATTCATAGATATATGGACTATTGTGAACCCTGCAACAAAAGCATATATATTTTATTCAGATAGATATAAATATCATACTACACTTTATTTCGATATCTAAAACTTTCTCAAATTTCCTGCAACAGACCAATTTTTAGATCAGATCACACTCCAGTAATTATCACATTTAAATTAGAAGAGATTATTCCATTTACTTATAATTGGTTTAATCCCATAATACTATATAATGAAGCAGCAAAGCAACAACTTATCCAAACTTTGAGAATATCTTTTTCAAGAAAATAATACAAACAAAACATTACTAAGAACATGATGATTGAAATTCTCAATCATCCAGGTCACGGTTGTCGGAAAGATGCTTTTCCAACAAGCAGCTGGACTTTGTTGACTTTTTTCCTTGAAAAGGTTTCTCTTCTCATCCAAGAACCTTCTTCAGTTCTGAAGAAGCTGAAGAAGCTTCTTGGATGAGAAGTAAAATTATTTTAAGGGGGAAAAAATCAAGAATATACAGTTGCCTTTTGGAAAAGCACCTTTAGGACAGCAAGTTGAGATGCTATAAAAGAAGTATTTAGAGGTAGGTAGATAAATTAGATCAGCATGATTAAAAAACATAAACACAAAAGGAAGATAAACTTTATTTGGGAACTAACAATTTATTAGCAAACTATAAAGAACTAGATATTATTTACAAAAAGAGTTGGAGGCAGAAAAAAATCTCTCAGATTATTCTTGTAAGTAAATATATTATGAACATGTAAATAAAAATTCTAAAATATGGGCAAAAAAACTGAAAAAAGCTAAGAAAAAATATGTATTAATACAATTTAAAAAGCAATGTCAAATTGTGTCCAAAATTAAAGGCATAAATGAATAATTTAAACTTTTTACAACAATTATATTCTTCAAGTAATAAAAATTAATCAATTTTTAAATAGATTAACATTCCCAGAACTAAATCTAGAAGATATCTAATGTATTATGTATCAACTCTCTTTTTTTACATTTCAGAAATTTCTGAAGTTTTCAATTTTAGTCTAAATGGAAAATCTTCTAGTCCTTATGTATTGTCAGGGGAATTTTATAAAGAATTTAAAGAAGTTTTAATACCTGAATTTTTATTTTTATGTGATACTTTGCATCAAGGGGATCCTTTAATAGAGTTTTGGAAACAGTCTAAGATAATTTTGATTCTTAAATCGAGTAAAGATTTGCATTCCTGAACATCAGATTATGTAGTCTGACCTCATCCCTCAGAGAAAACAGTCCAGTGGTGAGAGATTGAATTATGAGGATAGATAGCCATTTTATCTACTATATGATAATATTTCAAATACTTGAAAACAGTTATATTTCCCATAAAGTTTATTTTTTTCCTCCAGGCTAAAAGTACCCAACATCTCCAACTGTTCCTTGTGAGTTTTTTCTTCCAGATTTTTTGTCATTTTAATTGCCCTCCTCTGCCTTCTCCATATAAACCTTCCAAGGAATAGCAACCAAGATTTTCAGAAGCAAAACATCTTAAAACTTCACATAAAAAACTTCACAAGGTTAGACACAATTACACAGAAGTATATATCTCTGAACCTACTTTGGAGCAAATACACAAAGGGTTGTGCTATTAGCTTTTATTGTCATTTTTTTAAACAGCAGCATTCTTTCCCAGAGTTTGCTGCATTAGGAGACAACAAACGCCTGTACTCTGCCCGTAGCTTTATTTCAATTCTGTATTTTTTAAGATAAACTGAATATTCATACTTTGTGATAGACAGATCACAGCATGCTATTTGCTGAGTATTATTTTTGCCCTTTGGGAAAAGGACAAAGACTTGTCAGGCACACAGAACAAGAACAGAAAATAGAATGATATCTGCAGCCATAACATTTCCCCTCACATTTAGGAAAAATTAAAGAACTTGGTTATTGATACAAGAAGCAACCCTGCCAATAAAATAATTGTTTGTGTGACACTTACCATATTTATTGATGACACGGGGCCAATGCTATTAACATAGATGTCAACATCAATGACTGTGGGTTTCACTGTGAAAGGAAAACCAAAAAGGCAGCATTTAATATTGTCTCAAATATAATACCAGGGTATCATGTTAAACATTTTCATAATTATGTCATTCTGAACTTAAATCTGCTGGGAAATCACAAGATTAATAGGTTTTTGTTTGGTTGGTTTGCAAGAACCTTTTAAAACTGTCATTCTTGTAAGACATGATTTGAAGATTAGGGTTTATATTTGGTACACCATACTCTATTTCTTCTTCAGTTATATCACTGCTACTTTGGTTCCTGCCTCTGTAGTGGTTAAAGCACCAGGCAAGAAACCAGGGGACAAGGATTTCTAGTCCTGCCTTAGGCATAATGCCGGCTGATTGACTGGTCATTTTCTCTCACCCTGAAAAAGCAGGCAATGATAAACCCAGACATGTCAAACTCGCGACATCATGTGATGTCACGCAACGTATCGGGACAGTTTTGCCATTGCCGGCAATGGGGTGGGCGTGGCTTCCAGATGACACGTCCAGCCCACGGGCCGGCAGTTTGACACCCCTGAACCACTTCTGAAATCTTGTCATGAAAACTCCATGGACTTGCCCAGATAGTCATTAGGAATCAAATTTTGTTTTTCTTCTAGGATCTCTAGAAATGAAAGGTCAATTTCTTTTAAGCACACCTCTTAAACTGCACAAGAATTGTATTAAGCCTTTCTAACAAAAGAAGGTAAAAGACAATCAGCGGTCTCCAGCTAAATAGAAGTGCCTTCTCACTTCATGATGACATTGTCTAATGAGATGGCACTATCGACATACAGAGCCATGCTATGTGTCCAGAGTCTAAGGTGAAATAGCTTTTGGAGTATATGTGAATACCCAGTCACACTTACATGCAAAGCTTGAACCAAAACATGATTTTTTTTCCAGCAGCCTTGCAGTCTCATGAAAAGATGCAAATACATGGCTGCAGGCAGATGCTTTCCGAGTGTCCCTGTGAACTCCAAAGCACCTTTTTGCCTTCAGATATAAGGCACACATGCCCTTTCTAATTAAGACTTCTGATTGAGAGTAAAGCCATTGTACTGCCCTCCTCTGGGAAGAGAAGAAGAAAAGGAAAGATCCTTTGACAATTTTTGAGAAAGTAATTATTTTGCAACATTATGGGGATTATTTCCTTATTTTTCTCAGAGCTGAAAGAACAAAACCACTTTGCCTGCCCAATAAAAGAGAAAGAGGTCCTTAATGGCTGATCTCCTTTTTGCTCCCCCAAAATGTGAGGATGGTGTTATATTTTGACACAGGACCTCAAACATTCGTTTATTTCAGAATATCAGCTATTACGGTATGCAGTAAATAGTAAACAGTAATAAAATAAATAGGCAAACAAACAAAAATATTGCAGGTATATTATCCAACAGCTGCAGGCATTTCATATTCCATTTCATACATTTCAACATTCCAGGGTCATACTGATGGCTGATGCTGCCTACAAACTTTGAATTTCCCTGCAAATCTTATCTTCTGCTCCACGAATAAGAATAAGAATATCACTGAAATGAAGGTTGTGATCAAGAAATAAATAATGACATTTGATACTAGACAGAAACAATCCATTTAAAACTATAGGTTTATGTAAGAAGGAGGCGCTTGCTTCCTCAGATTTATTTAACCTGCTTTTTAAATTCTACAACTCTCAATCCCTAGTAGGACATCAATTGTTTCTGGTGCTCCCATTACATGTGTGATGTCATGGCCCTCTCTTTCCTTTCCAGCCTTGAATTTGGTGTTTAAAATACCCTTCTTCCATCTCCTGCAATTCCATTACTGCTCCAGACTCATAGCCCTCCTTCCTTTTCCTCCAGTGTAATGCTTGCTACAGAGTGAACATGCATCAGAGATTTTCACAAAAGCCTCATGGCTCCAAGCACAATTATTCCTTCTTTGAAAAGCAAACAATGTTTAACAAGTATAAAAAGAACATTCAGGCTTCAAGTCCAGGTTGGGAAATCTCTTGTGACATTTGTCTTGTGACTCCCCACCCTCACCCCTGAGAGACAATCTGATTGAGTCTACTTGCTTAAGGCAAAATCAGTTCAACACAGGAAACACTTACATTCCACTAATCTAAATACACTTTGACTTCTAGATAGAATCCTCTGCTTATCTTCTCAACAAGGCAAGATGTTCCCTGGTATCAAAGCTCTGGTGGAGCATGGCGAGGAATACAGCACATCCTTTGGAGAGCCAACAGGTAAAGAGCAAATGATGATGATGATGATGATGATGATGATGATGATGATGATGATGATGATGATGATGATGATAATAATAATAATAATAATAATAATAATAATAATAATAATAATAAAGTTGGAAGGGACCTTGGAGGTCATCTAGTCCAACCCCTGCTCAGGTAGGAAACCCTATATCATTTCAGACAAATGGCTGTCCAGTCTCTTCTTAAAAACTTCCAGTGTTGGAGCATTCACAGCTTTTGGAGGCAGGTTGTTCCATTGATTAATTGTTCTCACTGTCAGGAAATTTCTCCTTAGTTCTAGGTTGCTTCTCTCTTTGGTTAGTTTCCATTCATTGCTTCTTGTCCTGCCTTCAGGTGCTTTGGATAATAGCTTGACTTCCTCTTCTTTGTGGCAACCCCTGAGATATTGGAACACTGCTATCATGTCCCCCCTCGTCCTTCTCTTCATTAAACTAGACATACCCAATTCCATCAACTGTTCCTTTTATGTTTTAGCCCCCCGTTCCTTAATCTTCTTTGTTGCTCTTCTCTATACTGTTTCTAGAGTCTAAACATCTTTTTTACATCATGGTGACCAAAACTGAATGCAGTATTCCAAGTGTAGCCTTACCAAGGGATTATAAAATGGTATAAACATTTCACATGATCTTGATCTTATCCCTCTGTTAATGCAGCCTAGCACTGTGTTGGCTTTTTTGGCAGGTGCAGCACACTGCTGGCTCATATTTAAGTGATTGTCCACTAGTACTCGGAGATCACTCTCACAGTTACTACCAGGGCTTTTTTTCTCATAGAACGCCCAGAACGGAGTTCCGGCACCTTTTTTGTATGGAACCTTGTAGGGTAGGCAAGGCGGGTTGTATGACATGTGTGAGTTCCGGCACCTTTTTTTATTTTTTTACAAAAAAAGCACTGGTTACTACTATTGAGCAAGGTACCTTCTAAACTATACCTGTGCATTTGGTTTTTCTTGCCTAAATGTAGAACCTTACTTTTTTCACCATTTAATTTCATTTTGTTAGATAGCACCCAATATTCAAGTCTGCCAAGATCCTTCTGTATCTTAAGCCTATCTTCTGGACTATTCCTGCCAGCTTGGTGTCATTTGCAAATTTGATGAGTTCCCCATCTATCCCCTCATCCAAATCATTGATGAAGATGTTGAAGAGACTGGGCCCTGGGGCACCCCATTATACACTTCCCTCTATGTAGATGCAGTGCCATTGAGGATCACACGTTGAGGATGGCCGATCAGCCAGCTACAAATGCATTTGGTGTTGATGCTGTCTAACCCACATTTTTCTATCTTATCAAGTATTAGGTTTGTGGTCTATTTTATCCAATGCCTTACTGAAGTCCAAGTAAATTATATCACAGCATTCCTGTCCACTAATTTTGTCACTTGGTCAAAGAATGCAATAAGATTTTGTCTGACAAAACCATGTTGGCTTTTGGTAATGACTTTGTTTGCCTCTAGGTGTTCGCTGATTTGTTGCTTGATACCATTTTCTTGCCTATCTTAACTTGTATTTCTAATTTGTTTTTTATGGTACATTTTTTGATAGGTTGGTCTGTTTTTTCCCTTTGTGTAAAGATGGATGCAAAAAACGAGTTAAGTAATTCTGCTTTGTCCCTGTTGCTTGTCACCTTCTTGCCACTTTCTCCTACTAATGGACCAGTCATTTCCTTAACTTTTTTCTTGTTTTTTACATGTTTAAAGAAGCTTTTTTTGTTATTTTTGACTTTTGTCGCAAGCCTTAGTTCACTTTGAGCCTTAACTTTCCTCACTTCATCTTTGCAGGCTTGGACTATTTGCTGATATTCTGCCTGAGTTATGTGCCCCTCTTTCCACTTTTTATACTTGTCCCTTTTGTCTTTCAATTTATCAGAGAGTTCTTTATGCAGCAATGCTGGTTTCTTTTGAGAGCTGTTATTTTTTTTCTTTGTTGATATTGTGCTTGACTGGGCTTTTATAATCTCACTTTTCAAAATTTCCCAAGCTTCTTGAGTTGTTTTCCCTTGAGGATTCTCATCCATGGAATCCTTCCCAAGTTCTCTCTAAGTTTATTGAAATTAGCTCTCTTAAAGTCCAAGACTATGTTCTATTGCTAGTGCTTGCATAATGTTGAATTCCAGTATTGCATGATCATTCCTGCCCAAGGTTCCTGTGCCTTCAACACTTTCTATCATTTCATCTCTGCTAGTAAGAATTAGGTCCAATATGGCTGATCCCCTAGTTCCCTTCTCTACTTTTTGGGAGACAACGTTGTCTGCTCGGTTTGTCAGGAATCTGTTTGATCTTCCACTTGGTGCAGAGTTTGTCTCTGTAAGGACCCAGCTCAGCTAACCACCCAAGAAAGCAGAACTCTTGAAACAGGTATGTCTCAAAAGGAAACTTTTATTAGGGATTAGTGACAGTAGGGAAGTCAAGGTGAGATCTGGGGAAAATCCCGCTCAAATGGTATAGTTAAACTAGCAATATTCCACCTCCCACCAAAATCATAATGTCCATTTGAAATCCAGCTAATTCTCAGTTGGTATGATGTGTGGGTAACTGGCACAGTTGGTGCACATCTCAAGGTCTTCTCCAGTTTCATTTCTTTGTAACCATCTCCCTGATAAGGGAGACACATTCCTTTCTCAAGTGGATAGAGGCAGGAGAAGTAAAGTAGAAAGCGAAAGTTATCCCAAGCAAAAGCAAATGTCCCCCCTCCCCCCAGCAGAATGGCAGGCCTCAAAGCAAGAGCGGAAAAGTCTATATGCAAGGAAAACAATAA